ATGATCTGGTTGAACTGTAAAGTGCCTTGAGATGACATGTGTTGTGAATTGGTGCAATATAAATAAACTAAATTGAATTTCCAAAATATTTCAGAAATATAGTTTCTAAAGACTCTGTAAGCTGGACGATTGCCTTTCTACACTCAAAGTTTCCAGTGAACAATAACGAGGGGTGCCTGCAGTTAATCTATTTTATGTTTGTAGAAAGCAATTTGACTGCTTTACTTTTGTATATACCATTCTGTCAGAGGGGGTTCTGCCAGGGTGAACAGAGGAATTTTAGAACCGTAGCAAGGCAAATAAGGAGAGCGTTATACTTATGCCCTCCTGCCTCTACTGCATCACTGCCTCGACATGTAGCGCAGCTACAGTATGGTAAAAAAAGAAAAGCTGTGTGGATAAATGGATTCCAGCGGTGGGTGGAACCACTCGTCAGAGATGAATCAAACTAAAGGAGTGGGCAGCCCCTCCTTTTTCATCCCCAACGTAGCAATCTGCCAAAACAATAAAAGCGCCTGGCAACAGAATAATTACCCTGACCAATGGGAGCTGGGTTTTTTTTTAATTAAACACATGAAAGAAGGGTAAGAAAGGAAGGAAGGCTGAGATCTTTGCTCAACCACATGCCAATGCAGAGTCAACAAATCCTTCTTTTAAAGAAAGGGTGGATGGTTTACATTGCCCTTTAGCCCGCTCCCAGCTCTTTTGACTCTTACATTCGGTTCAAACAATGAAAAAAGAAGCCTTTTAAAACATAAAATAATATTTATTACAAAATATTAACAAATATTAAGTGAGTTGAGAAATCAGCACTGTATATATGCACAACCTGATCAGCTGTGTTTAAAAGTACAAACACATATTTGTTCCCCCCCGTCTCCCTGTATGAAACAGTAAGTAAATCATGACACAACATGTCTGAAAAGAGCCCAGCATAAGGCTCTGGCTGAAAGGGGAAAACTCAGGCTGAACATTTGAGGTTGGGCTTAGGCTAAGGAAAAAATCTCCCCCATAGAAACCACATGTGCTGGTAAAACTTGCCAAACCGAGGAGTGACTCATGCTTCTGATGTCAAAGCTAAGTCAGACACTGTTTGCTCTTAGTTCAAAAGAACCATAGAGTTTTTTTCTATTAATGGTCATTATTTCATAATAACAACAGCTTTACAAATATAACCTGGTCTAGAAACTCAACCCCTACTTAGAAATTCAGTCTTTGAGGAAGTAGATGTATATCAATGAGTCTCTTAAAGGAGCAAGGAGTGCCAGCTTTGCTTCTTCCCAGTCTTTACATTCTTTTGAAACCCCTTTGCTGTCGTTTTCTTCATGAAACGGCGACACTGTATGAGGGTGCCGGTGTTTCAGGTGTGTTTTTCCCTGCATGCTTCAGAGCGTTCGATTCTACCACACTGCTCCCGGACAGTGTGTTGGTTATGGTGCGGTTAGAGCGATGATCCCCATGGATGACCTCCCCGCAGCGTTTTCCTACCAGGTAGACGATCTCGATGATGGAGAGCACGATGCAGACCAGGCTGGTGACCACCATGAAGATGGTGAAGATCCTCTTCTCGGTAGGCCGTGAGATGAAGCAGTCCACCGTGTTGGGGCATGGATCCTGCGTGCACTTGATGAGCGAGGGGAAGTGGTAGCCTTCGTAGATGTGGTAGAGAAGGTAGACGAAGGTAGCATCGACCCCTACTTTGAAAACCAGAGTGAGGACGTAGGTCCACCACAGGCCTCCGCGCTTCTTCCCGGTGTTCAGGTAGATACGCCGGCATTTTTCACCGTACTTTTCCTTGTTCTTCCGCTCTCTGTCCTCCCTGTAGGCCACATGCATCACCACCAGGAACGAAGGGCAGGTGACAAATATTAGCTGTAGAGCCCACAGCCTGACATGGGACACGGGGAAGAAGTGGTCGTAGCAAACGTTGTGGCATCCTGGCTGAGCTGTGTTGCATTTAAAGTCTTTCTGCTCGTCCCCCCACACCTTCTCAGCCGCCACCACAAACACCATGACCCTGAAGAGGAACACAATAGACAGCCACACTCTGCCAAAAGCAGTGGAGTACTTGTTCACCCCGCTGAGCAGGTTCTGGAGGAACGACCAGTTCATTATGGAGCGTGATCACTAACTGCTTTCCTCTCCTATTTAGCGGTTTGTCGGAGCTTTCCTCAGAGCTGAAATGGCAAAGATGGACCTAAAATATCTATTAACCTGAAACAAACAAACAGACTAAAGTAAATCATAAAGAATAAACACAAAATAAAGAGAATAACTTCCAAATATTAGAGGAATGAACAGCAGGCCTACTTACTGTGATTAACTCTACAAAACCTTCACAGTTTTTTTTTTGTTTTTTTTATCTAGTTACTCTCAGCTACAGAACTGTTGAGAAACATGAAGAGAGGCATGCCTTCCTACACCCAGCCCTTCATTTTCCACAGCCTGCGCTAAAAACTTCACATTCTGTGCGTAACCGCGCACAGCCCCGATGCCCCAAATAAAACACCCTAAAACAGACTTTAATCGCCATCTGGTCTATTCTTTCCGATCGAATCTGTTTAAAAGTACTCACAGTTTAAAGTGGGGAACAGTCGGAGGTGGAGCGCAGCAGCAGCCCGATGAGAATCTCAGCAGATTTACTTCCCCCGATGGGAGCGGAGCCTAAAGAGGGGAGGATCGGACAGCCTGCCATAGCTCCGGTGCGCTCAGCCTGCCCAGGTGTGGCTCCACCAGCCAAAACTTGTTGGACCAATCAACAGCCATGGATCGGCACAGCTGAAAGGATCTATTGTCAGGATCCAGACTTTTATGTAAAACACCATCAGAAACAAGCTATCCAAAGTGTTTTTATTTTATTGAATTTTGTTAAAGTAAAAAAGACAGAGAAAAAGAAGAGTAAATATTTTCAAATATACGGTTTTATATATATATATATATATATATATATATATATATATATATATATATATATATATATA